AGCTTGGCAGATTCGATGAGGAATTTTTGGATTTTGTACGGAATTTGAGGTAAGACATCCAAAATTCGAAGTGGATTCGAAGTAAACTATTGACAAGAAAGCCGCATGCTTTAAAACCTCGAAATCAAAACTATAATCTAGTGAATAGTGTGAATACCAATATAAATATCTCTCAATATCAATGGAAGATCAAGAAATCATTTTATTATATCTTCGACGTGAGAAATCTCGTTCTTTTAACAGAGGTGAATCATGAAATATACATGCCTAAGGTGATATCAAAAACAAATAACAAAGAGTCCAAAGTGAAATGTGCTATATAGTTTTGAAAATAGCTCGGAAAATAGTATATTATACACCTTGGCAGAGAAGTGACTGCGAGCTCGCAAATACACACAATTACATAATGATCTTTTATCTGCCCATCAAATTTCGTTTTCGACACCCCCTGTAAATATATCAATATTTTATGAAAACCGCGCATGGTCTTTTATCCGATCAATAAATTTCAATTTTTTATTCCAACGTGAATCCACCTGTTTATTTAAATAAATGGATCTCGGGTGATTAATTTGTTTTGAGTGATGCACTTACTTGCCATTGGATATCGAAATGATGAAAACTATAAACAATATATTTATTGGATGATTTAATCTTCTTCCTATATATAGAGATTTCTTGATGGAAAATTTTATTGTAGGAATATATATTTGGCAACATTGCAATATTCATAAAAACATGGTATGTCAAGTGAAACGGTAACCCTGACATGATTATTTATTGGTACATGTATTACCCTGTACCAAGTGACATGGCAATTCCCCATCATTGTCACCCTGTCAAATCAAGCAATCAGAGCTAGCCAAGCCGGCCGAGTAATGGTGGGAGTGAATATTTCACGATATTTCACTATACTGAGAGTCAATAATTAATATAAGATTTTTTGACACCTGATTTGTCCAATCTCAATTCAATTTATAATTCTTAGTTCAGTTCAATCTACAATCTCCTATCACAACCGGCACTAGACATCACTAATAATATCCATTAGGTATCAGAAAGTTCACTTACCATAAAATGAAAGACTTATATCGAATATTTTTAATAATAACTAAAAAAATGGAATTTCGATATCACGATATAACAATGTTCTGTTGTGTATTAATCACGTAGGTATACTCCACAAGACACAGACCTCACTCAATACTGATATAATTCGATTGGAGTCAAGACTCGACAAGTTGTGACTCGCCTCTATGCGATGCGTACAGGAAATAACTCGGGAAAGAAGGGTCACTCGGATAGACGCGAAAATGGAAGACTCTGTTATATTTCGCGGGAAATTCGGACAAGCGTGGTAGGTATTTATTACGATTTTTAGTATAAGAATTCATCGGGACTTCACTGACTTCATCGAGACTACACTGATTCCATCATGACTTCACTGACTTCATCATGAATTCACTGACTTCATCAAGACTTCAGTGACTTCATCGAGACTTCAGTGACTTCATCGAGACTTCAGTGACTTCATCGTGACTTCACTGATTTCATCATGATTCCACTGACTTCATCGAGACTTCAGTGACTTCATCGTGACTTCACTGACTTCATCGAGACTTCACTGACTTCATCGAGACTTCTTCAACGTGTACACCAGACTTCATTAGCGATTCGCCCCTCGAATTTACCCCTGTATCTTCGTTGCTAATTTGATACATCGATTTGATTTCATGGGTGTGAGTATGTTTTTGATAGTATCAGACCAAATATGACACTCCTGGTTTGACCGGAAGTGCATCCAATTTTTTTATTTTGAATACAAAGTATAATTGTTTTTGGAAATCATGATTCAATCAATCAATCAATCAATCAATCAATCAATCAATCAATTTATTGGTCCTTCGGAACTCACAAGAGTTATCGGATAAGTCAACATAGCAGTACCTACACAAAATTATATATACAACAAACAAATAATAGTAATAATAATAATAATAATACTTTCCTAATTATTACAGTAACAATGATTTGAAATATATAGGCAGAGACAGACAAAATACATGTAAAGTTAAAAATATAAAATAAAATTGATTACACCATAGATTAACTAAATGCTATTTCGAACTCTTGTATGGAGTAAGGACAAAGTTCTATGAGGAGTTTGGATAATGCACGTTTGAATTTGCGACCAGGCCGAATATTTTTCAAATTTTGTGGGAGAGAATTATACATGTGGACACCAAAAGTGTTTGGTGACCTTTTGGTTAGTTCCAGGTGCTTGAATGGCACATGGTAGTCCTCTTTCTTTCTAGTATTGTGCGAGTGCTTGTCACAGTTCTTTAGATATGAATTTTGATTTTGATGAACATATGTCATAAGCTCAAGGATGAATATGCCACTGACTGTTAGAATTTTATTTTCTTTAAATATATTCACACATGAATGCGTTGCTGGACAACCAACTAGGCATCTTAGAATGCGCTTCTGAGCAAGGAATACATTAGTTGCTGCAGGTGTGTTTCCCCATGCAATAATACCATAGGAAATTCTGGAATGCACTTCTGCAAAATAAAATTTTAGGAGATGACTCAAGTGCATTGCACTTTTGAGGTTTCTTATTTGGTAACATTTAGAGTTCAAGATCTTACATAGTTTACTACAGTGGGTTTTGAATGAAAGAGAAGAATCAAAATACACTCCAAGAAACTTAACGTCATCGATGGTGTTAATAGTATTTTTATTTAAGCAGATATTTAATCGAGGTATATTTGTATTCTGATGAGAATGGAAGGTTGTGTAGTTTGTTTTACTAGCATTAAGCAACAAGGATCTATCAAAAGACCAGGCAGATAATCTATTAACTGAACTATCGATTTTGGTTTGCAAGCTTGCGAAGTCTCTATCTTTAATTAGTAATGTAGAATCGTCAGCATATAGTGTCGTAAAAGTATCAGATAAAATTAGTGGTAAGTCATTAACATATAAGGTGAACAAGACTGGACCGAGAATAGAGCCTTGAGGAACCCCTAGTGCATTAATATTGGTCGATGAAAAGGCAGAAGTTCCAGATCCAGATATCTTGACCATTTGAGGTCTATCTTTCAAATAGGAGTTGAACCAATCATAAGCATTGCCTCTAATACCACACCTATATAACATATCCAGTAGTATGTCATGGTCAACACAGTCGAAAGCGCGAGTAAAGTCACAAAAGATGCCAGTTGGACTCTCTCCCTGCTCTAAGCCATCTAGAATTTTTTCATAGAAAGATATAATTGCAGTCATTGTAGAATGCTGTGTACGGAAACCATGTTGATTTTCGCTGATTATTTGGAATTTATTCAGGAAATTTGTAAGCTGATGAATCATAGCATATTCTAATATTTTGGATATTGCAGAGGGTACAGACAATGGCCTATAGTTCTCAATATTTTCGGAGCTATCTTTCTTCAAAATTGGAGTGATTTGGGAAATTTTTAGCCTAGATGGAAATTTTCCTTCTGCAAATGACGAGTTTATGATGTGAGCCAAAGGGGCAGTTATGTAAGGTCCAATTTGTTTCAGAACTATCCCAGAAATTCCATCAAAACCACAAGATGGTTTATTTTTTATTTTGTTTTTTATTATTTCCAGCACATCATTATCAGTTACATGAGTAATAAACATGCTTTTGTTTTGAAAATTATTAGGATATTGGATAGTAATATCTGGGTTATATATCTTTGATATAGTGTCTTTCGGGATTTTGATAAAGAAGTCATTAAATTTGTTAGCTATTATTGATGGATCCTCGAGAATTTCATTACCATCTTTTATTTTTATATGTGTGCGGGAGTTATCTTTACCTCTTAATTCATTAATAACTTGCCATGAAGTTTTATTTTTGTTTGTGGAGTTATTTATTCTATTGAAATAGTATTGACTTTTAGTATTTTTAATAAGGTTTCTATGTTCTCTTTGAGCTGTGTTGTAATGACTTTCAAAGAGAGAGCTAGATTTTTTGAGCACATATAAGTTTTTTAAGTTATCAGATGATTCTTTTACCTCACTAGTTACCCATTGGTTGTTAGATTTTACTCTAGCTTTCTCCTTTTTAACTGGACAGCTTGCATCAAAATAGTGCAGCAATGTATCATGGAATATATTGAATTTAGATTCAGTATCTTCTGCTGAGTAAATATCATGCCATGTTTCCTTGATTAGGTGAGATATGAAACTGTTAATTCTACTGTCGCTAGTGATCCTCTTAGTTATAATATTGTTGCTACATTTTGCCTTCCTTTCAATATTCAGAGTTAGCAGAAGTGTGTCGTGGTCCGATTCTGTATTGATATCCACCACACCATGACAGTTCTCAAAGTTAGAGTAGATCTGATCTAAAATAGAACTACCACGAGTTGGCATTAAGTTTTTTGGAGATAATCCATATGACTGCAGTAGCTGATCAAAATAAAGAGCCTGATAGGCTGTCATTGAATTGACATTGAAGTCTCCAGTTAGAAAGATATAAAGGCAGTGTTTGAACATATTTTCAAGAATTTGATTCAAATTATCAAAAAAAGTATTGAAATTACTACTTGGAGATCTGTAACATACCAAGATAATTGTTTGAAGCGAATTAAAATGCCATTTCAATCCACATATTTCGATGTCCTTCTCTACACAGTATGCGGATAACAAAATTGGTTTAGTGTCCAGATCTTGTTGAGCATAGATAGCCACCCCTCCTCTAATGAATTGGGATCGGCCAAAGAAGTTTATAAGTTTATAACCAGGAATACAATAATTTGAGATATTATCCATTGTTGACCAAGTTTCTGTGAAACATAAGAATTTCAAGTTTGAGTAGCTCAAGATGAGTTCATCAATTTTGTGCTGATTTAGTCCTCTGATGTTGGAAAGTAAAAGGTCATAATTGTTGGAACAATTGTTCATATTTGAAGTAATTTCCTCATTGTTTATGTCACTTGTACAAATTTGAACATTCGAGGATCCACTTATGCATTTACTTGTGGCATCCTCCTTGGGAAGAAAAAATTTGAAACCAGGGCACCAATTGGCCAGACTTCCTTTTTCCACGCCTCTCTGTAGTGTTCTTTCCTGATTGTTACTTTAACAGTTGCATATAGATCAGGTCGTTTTGATGCATGCTGTTCACAGCGAACCTCAGGGAATCGCTCCTTCAATAATTTTTCCAGGTCTTCTGGCTTTGTGTCTGGCTTCAGCCTTGTCACATGTAGGGTAGAATATTTAGGAACTGCCTCAATTCCAGTATTTTCCTCATTTCCTCCTATTATGAATCTTCGACGTTTCTTTGTTCTTCTGGTTTCCCAGTTTCCTCCATCCTTTGTACTTTCATCAGAGGGAGGTTGGTTATTTCCCAGTTCTAGAATTTCTCTCATTATGGCTGCTTCGTTTGCTGATTTGATTGCAGAATTTATATCACTTGGTTTAATGTATTGTTGAGTTTGAACATGATTTTGAGTTCGAGTTCTGTCTCTATTTATTTTGTCATTTTTGTTGCCATGGGAATCCTTAACCTTAGTGGATTTGACCCTGATTGCTTCTTCTTCTTTTTGTTCTTCAGCTTTTCTTGGTGTTATGGGCCTAACCTGCACACTACCAGTCTCTGAGGATACTAGCTTTTGTGTGCCTACTAGACCTAGCTTCTCACTATTTCGATTTCCATGAGCTTGACAACAGGCATGACCTTGATGGAATAACCTATCCAATGTCACAATTATATGTTCACTCTACAATCTACTCATATGGGTAATTGAGATTAAAAAGTGATTTTCTATTCCACTCATAACTTGTAGGTTGTAAGAAAATAACCAAATTAAATATTTTGTTGGGTCAGATTTTGAGAATTCAATAATAATTCTTCGCCCATGAAAAAAATTCAATATCATAGCCAACTTATATGAAGTTGAAAGGTTCAATACCATGTAAGTAGGTAGCATGGAGATTATCTTCATCAAAACTGAATAGGAAACAGGCAATTGAATTTTTTTCCTGTCTTGTATTTCAATATACATGTATGGGAGTATCTTACCAACTTCAGATAATTCTATGATAGCATTTCAAAATAATAAGCTAATTGGTGTTGAGAACTAAGGAAAAACTGAAATTGTAAAAAATAGTTGGTGTGCATGAAAATGTGTGACATTGAATTTTTGTTATTCATGTACTACTGTCTCATTATTTCACACTTTCATGAAAATATTTTTTCAGGAGGGGAATACAAAGAGGAGGGTTATAGGAGGGTTGTGGGGAGGGGGGTATTTTTTGATTCACAAATTATTTCACCTCATAGAACGTATTCAGCAAGTCTGGAATAATTCATTTTCATCAAAAAATCTTGAGCAACCAGAATTTCAACTGTTTTAAGATTTCTTTATTTCGGAGGGTTGTTGAGGGGTAGTTTTTGATTTCACACATTATTTCACCCCATAGAGCATATTCAGCGGGTATATAATGATCCAATAAAAAAAATGGTCCTGCAACGGGAATTCCAACTGATTTGTGATTTTCTTCTTATAGGAGGGTTGTGGAGGGGTAGTTTTGGGTTCACAAATTATTCCACCCCATAAACCGTATTCAGCAGATCTAGAATGATCCGTTTCCATAAAAAAATCTCGTACAACTGGAATTTCAACTGATTTATGATTTTCTACTTCGGAGGGTTGTTGAGGGGTAGTTTTTGATTCACAAATTATTTCACCCCATAGAGCGTATTCAGCAGGTCTAGAATAATCCATTTCCATCAGAAAATCTCGTGATAGGGGAATTTCAACTGATTTATGATTTTCTACTTAGGAGGGTTGTGGAAGGGTAGTTTTTGGTTCACAAATTATTTCACACCATAGAGTGTATTCAGTAGGTCTAGAATGATCCGTTTCCATCAAAAAACATCAGGCAACGGAAATTTCAACAGAATTTAGGTCTTTGTACTCCGGAGGGTTGAACTACCCCTTAGTTTCTGGTTCACAAATCATTTCATTGTATGTAGGGTATTCGATCTTTGTAAAATTATTGATTCACACAATAAAATAGCGATCGAGAAATTTCCCAACTGTTCTAATAGCTTTTTTGTTTTGTGGGGTAGTTATGGGGTGGTTTGAAATTCACAAATTATTTTACTGTCAGGAGCCTTCTTCAACTCCTTCAGATTAGTAGACTTGCATAACAAAATTTCAGCAATAGAAAAAGACCTTCCTTCATGTACCATATAAGTGAACTTGAGAAACAGCCAGAAAAACAGTTTCTGCTTTCACACCCGTGTGAGTATACTATAATTTAAGGTTATTTCAAGGCTCTATGTTGAGCCTATCCTGGATTTTTTGTAGATTGTTCCTTGCAAAAATGTCCACAAATGCAACATGAGCATGACAAACCACTGGTGCAACAATCAAAAGTTCAATGACAAAGCTGATTATACCATAGATAGGCTAATATCATGTGAGGCTCCCGTTTCACACAATAATCTTTTTTATTGAAATTGTTGAAAAACCATGAGTTTTGTCATCTTCAATCGAGCAAATATGAGGATATTGAGTATTTCATAAGATTAGCTCAAGGTTCTCTGTTGAGCCTATGATCCATACTTTTGCTAGATGCTTTTTGTGAAAATGTTCACAATCTCAACATGAACATGACAAATCTCTGGCAAATCAAGAAAATGTTCAATGAAAAACCTGAATTAATGCAACTTTGAGGCTGAAATCCTAGCTAGAATCCTATGTGTCCACAACTTGTTCTTCACATAATTTCATTATATGTTTGATACCCTACCCCATTCATTTCTAGCATAATGGTTGAGATAGAAAAACTTGTAATTTTTTCAACAATGTTGATAGAATAGATTATCTACTAAGACGAGACCCTAAAATTAGCATTTAATAATGGTATAATCAGTTTTGTCATTGAACTTCTTATTGATTTGCAAGTGGTTTGTCATGCTTTATGTTGGATGTGAAACTTTTTGCAAAAAAACTATCATCAAAAATTCGATGGCAGGCTCAATGAAGGGACTTGAAATAGCCTCAAATTTTAGTATACATACTCAATATAGTTATAATTCCTCAATTCAAGATTTGGATCTGCTAACTGAGGTCGAACTGGCAAAACCCATGATTTAAAAAAAAACATTGTAGAAAAAATTGGAAATAGACTAGGATAAGAGCATTAAATTAGCCTGGAATATTGGTATAACTAGTTTCGTGATTGAACTTTTTCAGATTTGCTATTTGTTTTTCATGTTCATGAAGAATTTGTGGAAATTTTTGCAAAAAATGGTCAACAAAAGATTTGTTTTTGGATGTATGACAAATTGATATTCTTCATACAGGGCATGGAAAGAAATTCTGAATTGAGGGAACAAAATCAGGAATCTGCCATTGAAGGTCTATAAAACTAACAAGTTTTCATCATTCAAGTTTGAATCCCTTGATTGAAAAGGTATAGTCTCAGGAAAAATTATGAACATAAAAAAATGGATATACAGTGTGACATTTAAAATGGAACCACACCTGTATCTTACATAATTGTTGGGTAAGGATCCTGAAATTTGCTGGAGCCAGAGATATACCAAAAATGCACTCTATGACCAAGTGGGGTCATCTTCAGTGATATACACTGCTCGCCAACAGCCATGAAACTACCCCAATTTCCGGAAAATGATATTAGGAGTCAAAATAGGTCGAAAATCACTTCCGATTTGGAATCAGGACGCCCAATTTACTAACTATTCAAATTTTTCCTGGAAAATTTTCAGTTCGGAAAAATGAAATTTTGTTGCATTTTTTATGGAAGCACCCCCGTATCTCACGTAATTGACTTTATCTTTGGACTTTCTCTTCCTCCGGCAAATTTCAGAACCCTACCTCAATAATTACGTGAGATACGGGGGTGCTTCCATGAGAAGTGAGACAAATCTTAATTTTACTGAACTGAAAATCGAGATTTTTCATTTTTGGGAATTTTTTGTGTCGAAACTATTCATTATTGGTCAAAACTGCTTACATGTCCATATCTTAACTTTTCATTTTCTATTTACTCGTATTTAATTTAAACAAGTACAGGGTGGTGTAGAATTCTGACTGAAACTGTTAATTCTACACCACCCTGTATTTGTTTCAATTAAATACGAGTAAATAGTGAATCAAAAGTTAAGATATGGACATGTAAGCCGTTTTGACCAATAATGAATAGTCTCGACACAAAAAATTCCCAAAAATGAAAAATCTCGATTTTCCACACCTTATATCTCGGATATCATTCCCGCTAGACCCCAAGTGTGCTAGGTTGGTGAATTCAGCTCTTCAAGGAGAATATGAAAATGCAATGGAATACAGGGTGTTCTATTTGAAAAAATTGATGTTCGATTTTGTGAGCCTTTCTTGCGCCCCTCGTATGAAATATAGTCATTCCTAGAGTTAGCACTCATGATGCGATATGATGTGAAATTATAATATTTTGAAAATTCTTATTGGTTCAGAAGATATTCAACTGTCCCACTGGTCTAGGGACAGGTATATACATATATATATATATATATAAAGATATACATTGAGAGTTCGCATTCTCTATGTGATGAAAATATCAATTCTATCTTGGTTTATTCAAAAGAAAATTACTACTTTCCTGGCTACCTATATGGCATGACAATATTATGGCCAATAAGGAGCCTTAAATTATGGTGTACTCAATATTCAAATTATATTATTTTAATTTGAGATTTCATTCTCATAGCTTAATGGTTAAGCCAGCAAAAGCAATTTTTTTAAAAAACAATGTGTGAAATAAACAGCAATAATCTAGGATTAGCCTTAAACTATGGTATAATTTGTTTTATTATTGAACCAGATTGAACTATTTCTGATATGCTAATGGTTTATCATGTTCATGTTGGATTTATTAAAATTTTTGGGAAAATTTATCAACAAAAAAATTGATGATGGACTCAACAAGGAGCCTTGAAATGGCCCTAATTATGGTATACTCAATATCCTTGTATATGAGATGCTGACAAAATTTCCAGCAAAACCAATGATTTTTTCAGAAAAATGTGTGAAAACATCAGCAATAGGCTATGATGATTAGAGCTCTCAATTAGCATTGGATTATATAGTAAAATTAATTTTGGGATTGAACCTTTATTTAAGACGTTGTTCTGCTAGTTCAATGTTTCTTTGGATAAATCCAAGAGCAACAAATTCAGCAATTGAGTAATAAATTAGTCTCAAACTAGCCTTGAATCAATCTAGCCTTGAATTATGGGCCAAGAAAAAATGGAGAAACCTCAAGTATTTTTGCTGGCATAGGGGGTACATTCAAAGGGGTGCCAGTTCAAAGAAAATTAGAAAAACAATATGAACAATGTCCTTACCTAACATCATATTAGGAGAATGAATTCCTAACTTGGTTATCAATCTATCTGCTCCAAATACAAATAAGGCACCAAGTAAAAACCCAAAGGCAACAGGTAAAAAGGCATATTCTCCATTTTCTCCATAAAGTGTTGATTCAGAAGCTTGCTCAATAGCAGGAGCCAGAAGGGACCAAAATGATGCTGCAGTCATCACTCCAGCAGCAAACCCTAGGCTAGCATCCAATAATCTCCTCTTGAATGAAACAAAAAATTGGTAAACTTTCAGATTTGTTTACATGTAGAGGTTATGTATGTTCTAACCTGGGATCCTTTAATGAATATAACTAGAGCTGCTCCTGCAGCTGTTAGGCCCCATGTTATGAGGGTGCCAAAAAAAGCTTGCATGACTGGACCATAACCTTGTATCATTTTGAAATTTTTTGTAAATATTGTCTATGTATTGGAAAATCAAGCCACAAGTTAATAAATCCACGCACTAACACCGACTGCCATTGATAGTGAATATTCTTGAATATAATATATTTCCCACCTTTAGTTTCAACCTATCTACAATTAATTAAGGTTGTTCTACCATGCGCGAATGATTAAAAGATTATGTGGATATCTTTGATAAATAAATTTATACAGACCATATTTGTACTACTCAATACTCCCAGTAGTTCACTTTCATTGATGACTTTATTTAGTTTATTTAGTTTATTTTATGATTTATGTTTGGATTAGGTACCTTATGGCTTCCAGTGGTGCCAACTCATATTTCAGAAAGTCCCAAATTGACTAGAGTCTAGGGCTAGCACCTTCTGAGGAGGCGAACGTACCCGAACGTAAGAATGTCCTTGACTAACAGAATTGTTATAGTAATTGGCGGATAAGTTCGATCTTCGGATCTTTTTTGATGGAGCGGATAATTTTCAGATCCTGCAATATTTCGGATATCTTGATGATTCTTGTGTACATTTCGGATCTTCATGGATATTTCTATTCGCCAAAGAAAATCAAATAACATGTCGCTCCACCTGACGGCAATAACTTGAACAATAGCACAACCGAAAACCAGAATGAAGTATATACCCTATATACCTCGTTAATACCTTTCAAATATACCGCCAGGTAGCGTAAGGTCGAAAACATGTTGGCTCTATTCAGCTTACGTCTAATCGTTGATTGATATATTACGCTTGTCTAATGTATGTACGCTGCTTTATTGAACCTGTTGTTTATACGAGAGCCTAAAGTTTTCGATCAATTCTCGAACCTGATTGTCAGATTGGTCACAGTAAATCATGTGATCCGCTATGAGCGCATGCGCATTCGGAGACCCTCTTTGTCTCCAGAAGAAGGAAATAACAGTAGGCTGTCGCCATTCTATTAGTGCACCACAATACTCATCCTCCGCAATTTTATTTCAAACAATAATAATAAAAAAACACGAATCTCGACATATCACCTGATGGGAATGGTTCGAAAGATTTAGGCACGTCTGTTGCTTAATTTCGGATGTTGCGATAATCGCGATAGAAACAATAGAAAATAAGCTTACGTCACCTATCGGAGTTCTTGATAGCTGTCAAAGCGGCCTGTTCACTTTGTATTCATTGTTTCACATTTGTTTTTTTGAAAACAAACCGCTCAGAAGTGTTCCAGTTGTTGCCGTCAGATGGGGCGACAATTTATATTATTTCAAGGTTGGTAGAACTGATGATTATTTTGTAGAGGAAGGTTGCCTCGATCCTTGTGCCTCAATCGCACCCCGCGATTACCCCGCGAGTAACTCATGACGTAGTAGGCCGTTTCTTTTGCACGAAAAGTGTACTTCTATATGTACGATATTTCCACAAGATGAGTCTATTCGTGAGTAATGGATTCAATTTTGTGAACGTGATTTTAATTCATTCAACATCAAAACTTGGCGAATATATTCTGCCCTTTTCGATGCCAAAGGATCTTGAACGGCACAAGCAGAATTGTTAAATCACACACCAAAGAGAAGAAAACTCAAGGTAGGAATCCCATCAATAATACCAAATACAACAAGAGAAACACCATAATTATGGAAGTTTGGAAAAATGATCAGAACCAGACCAGTTGTGAGTTGAGATTATATTGCTGAACGGGAATAATGGGCATCAGAAGATATCACACGTGTTTTCAAGTTGAGATATATTTGCATGAGCAAGAGGACGTTATCCAACGAAGAGGAGCTATGTTTATTTGAGAGATTCCTTGAACTATCCTTTACTATAGGTTTACTTATAATAGGTATATAGTGTTATTTTTTATTAATTTTGTTATTTTGAACAGAATCATATTTTGTTATTTTTTTATGCTCAAACACTTCAATTGCTCTGTTTTCGACTCTACAATATAATCAAACAATGAACTACTATTTCCTCTTGTAATTTCTATAGGTATCTGAAGAAGTTTTTCAATTTTTCAGAATACAGTTATAATAATAGAATAAGTGATCTCCCAGGTAACAAGCTGACGTCATTTGTACGTCAATATATGGTCATTTATGGTCATTGACGTCATATGACCTCAAAATGACGTCATTTTGACGTACTCAATATGACGTTATATAGACGTCCTTGATATGTCGTCAATATGACGTCATCTGATGGTCATTTTCATGACTAATTATGACCATCATTCATTGAGTCATCTACATCGAGAAAAATTCATAATCAAGAAGTTTCCCATCTCTGCTATATGAAAACGTTAGTAGTTATGTTATATAACATATACAGGGTGATTCAAAAGTAAGCGGCATCCTTTCAGAGGCGTATTCCTTGCTTGAAAATAAGGCAAAAAGTTCCTATTGATAAGGATCCGAAAATGCTTCCTAAGGGAGCTACGGCCCTTTGAATAGGACACCTCAAAGACGGTTTTTTCTCTATAACTTCAAAATCCTTCACAACAAATTTTTAAAAATTGGTGTACGGCATAAACATTCGATGGTAAATAGGACTCCGTATTCGAAATTTCAGAATTTCATTCAGGGGCGTCACATGCGGGAGAGGGTAAGTGTAAAAATATCCCTTCTTCTCCGGATATTCAGGTTACTGTGATTTCGTTTGGAAATTATTTCGAATACGGAGTCCTATTTACCATCGAATGTTTATGCCGTACACCAATTTTTAAAAATTTGTTGTGAAGGATTTTAAAGTTATAGAGAAAAAACCGTCTTTGAGGTGTCCTATTCAAAGGGCCGTAGCTCCCTTAGGAAGCATTTTCGGATCCTTATCAATAGGAACTTTTTGCCTTATTTTCATGCAAGGAATACGCCTCTGAAAGGATGCCGCTTACTTTTGAATCACCCTGTATAATTATGTCACTCATTATATATTATGCTTCATAATAACTTTCCTCTAATCTGTGCGAGATGTGTGTTTTCGATGGTCTCTGAGATAATTGTTAATTATATACCTTCTGTGCAAAGTATTCTCCCTAAAGCTATTGAAAATATAAGACCGAATTCCACGTCATAAAAAGCTTATAACGTTGTTATTCCGGAATGCGAATTCAAATCAGAGCGGGAGAGTGCGTGGAGAACTGTACTCGATTGGTCGGCACGGACCTTGCGCAGACATGCGAACGTCGACCGCCAGCGCCAAGCCACAGCCGTCTTCAGAAGACGGCTGTCCGTTCACTTTCGTCATATACGTATTAATAATCAATACGGATAATCTCTATCTGTTTCCATAGCGAAACATGAAGCCGATTTTTGAAGACAAATGACTATCCATAAGGAAAAGTTTTGAAACGATCAGACACATACTGCTTTGATTGAAAGGCTAGTAAACGTCATTGTCCACCGAAACGCATGTCTTTGATGACTACTATAACAGCGCATGGCGCATGCGTATCATGCCACCAAATCCTTATGGATATTCATTTGTTTCATATTTTTTGCTTCATCCTGGCACCCGTTATGATCCGTATTGTTTTTTAATACGTAAATGACTTTCGTTTCGCTGTTGCGGCCATGATGAGTAATGATGACCATAACAACAAAATAACAATACATAGAAGGCCATCATTATCATGTTATTCGGCTATCTATGTGGTGTGGTGTGGTGGTCATACTTATTCATATTCATGTATCAAGTAGTAGAATTTGAGGATGGCAGCATGGTCATTTTATTTTAGACAAGTGGTGTACCTACCTATGCCGAAAAAGCAGAATGTGAATTGGACGCCATTGAAGGAATACCATAGGGTTCTGAGAAATCTCTCGAGTGCATCATCCGAATGGGATAAGTTTCAAATGAAAAGACAATTTTAAGAAACTGGTATTTATAGTACCTACCTATAATATTATTTTGTATTTAATAATAATATTGATACAACCCTAATACAACAGTGTTTTTTCACCTACAGAAGATCTTGAAATAGCACAAAATAAACTGAAACATGCAGAAGATTTCAGTGATATGAATAATCGTAAAGATCACGTCATTTTGACGCCATTAGGATGTCGTCATTTTGACGCCATTAGGATGACGTCATTTTGACGACATGAAAATGACGTCATTCGTCTTTGACTTAGAAGGTCATATAAACGTCATTATGACGTCATTTTGGAAGTCATCCTGACGTCAGGCCTGACGTGACAATGACGTACAAATGACGTCAGCTTGTTACCTGGGCTGATGTGTACGAAATATTGGTCCACTGCTACTACCTCTGGATCATCAGTTGATTATTCTTATATTTTCTGTAGTTTCTTGTTCACTTTATCTGATTTGCATAATATTCATAGGATGCGTAGGTTCATAATCAATGCATAGGTAATCACTACCTCCATAATTATGCTCCATACCTCAAAACACACATACCTCTGGTACCACGACCTGGTAAATAGCGCCTGGAACAAAATTTTAGATAGGTATTCCTCTCTGTACTACTGATGATCCATCCAAAATTGTCTTCTCATTTCGAAGATTGAAGGTATTATACCGAGTATTATACAGACGTATATGTAAATATCCATATTTTATAATGGTACCTACTAATAATTATAATAATATACTATAAATTAATATAAATATGCTGAGCAGACCAAAAAGTTTGTATACTCTATTTGGTAAACAACATTTCATGACATTTCGCTTTAAGGTTGACAACTTGTCATCTTACTACCTGTGACCATCCAACTCTAACGAAACGATCCAAGTGGACCACTGATGGTAAACCGATCAAGATCAACGATATTGTGATTATTTTTGTTTACAAAATATTCAATATTCAATAATCTCATCGATGCTAACTACATAACTTCTGAGTACTCAGTTAATTGCAACCCCTACATCACAAGAAATAGACTAATCTTCTACATACGCACTTTCGATAGCAATTATTACAATAACTCTCCATTAATAAGGTCAATGAATTCCTATAATTTTGTT